GAAATTCAGAAGACCGTACATTGAATCATGGTGGAGAGAAAATATAACTAGGGGAAATATTTGGTTAGATTTTGCTCCTCCACAAGAATTTCTCCCATGGCCTTCGACGTCTCCCCGTTTTCGCGTTAATGAAGACATGACTAAGTTGAAGGTATACCCTAAACTTGTAAGCCCTAATGACGTTAGGATATATCGTTCGATTCTAGAGACGTTCAAGTTGGGAGATAATAAAGACGTGAGATGGTATGTGATGGGAGATGATGACACGGTTTTTTTCGTGGATAATTTAGTGGAGGTGTTAGAGAAATATGATCATACTAAGTATTATTATATTGGGACAAATTCAGAGAGTATTAAGTCTAATTTTGATTTCTCTTTTGAGATGGGATTTGGAGGAGGTGGATATGCTTTGAGTTATGGTCTAGTGGAAGCATTGGCAACAAGAATTGATGACTGTATTGAGAGATATCCATACTTTCGAGTAAGTGATATTTTATCAGCATCATGTTCAGCTGATCTAGGAGTTGATCTAACCATCGAGAAGGGGATTCACCAGGTAATTAATTTATTTTTTTTTTTTATTTTTTTTTTTATTTAAATTGAGTTTCAACAGTGCTAGATCTTCTCAATTTTGGAGGGAAATATATAATTAAAATAACTAAGCACTATAATTATAAAACATAATATAACTTTATTAAATAGCATATCTCTCTATAATTTAAGGAGGGTAGTTTGCAGTTTCTTTCCTTTTTTTTGTAATAACTAAAGTGTCCATGTCTTTTTTTTTTTTTTTTGTAATAATTAAAGTGTCCATGTCAGTTTACGCACATCTCGATTAATCTTCTAAAATATTTCTTTTCATTTTCCGTTACAAGAGTATATGAAAAAAAATAAAATTATGAAATTAATTTCTGATATACTTTACATACTTAAAAAACTTATTATAAATAATAGAAGAATTTACCACAAACCTCGCTTGAATTACTAATCTAATGAACTTTACCATATAATTACGAAAAATTAAAATTAATGAAAAATACTTTAAGGAAAAAATTCAGTTTTGATAAGAATAGTCAATCATATGATTAAATTTATTTCTTTAATATCGTGCTTTACACAACTTTGAGCGTTATGGATCTGGTTGACTGGTTCAATAGTTGAAAGTAAATCTGTCATGAATTAGTTAATAATTATACGCCATAAAGATAAATTAAGATTAGGAAATGATATAGATGATTATTATACGTTAATTGTGACAATAATATTTTCTCTCGTACACTCTTCACCTCAACATGCAATTATATATATATATATATATATACACACAGAAAATTAGAGGTGTGGACGTTTAGGAAGTTTTTAACAAAAGTTAGAGACTCTTCTTTACTTATTTTTTATTTTTTTGACAAACTACCTAAGGGTTGAAGTTAGCCACCCCTATTAGCAATCGAGGACAATTAAACCCAAGCTCTCTTGAGTAATACACTCAAGAATCTTTATCACCTTACCTGACCACCCATAAGATGATAATTGATAAATTGGTTTAGGTAGAACTCACTTCTAAAATCTAGCTAAAAATACTAAATAATAAACGGGTTTAAGTAGAACTCACTTCCAGTCAAAAGCTAGAGACTCTTCATTAGCATAATTTTTGCATTCTCTCTTTTATCCGCACTTTAAAATCTTCCATACATTCACACTATAAATTGACTGTAGGTGTAAAATTCTCAAATGGAGACATTTTGATTATTATTATTAATTTGGACTTATATTTATGACAACAGAAATACACTAATTAAAGACAGTTTTGAAGAATTCTTGATTTATTCCATTTTTATTTGATATATATATTAATTTCTGATATATAATTTGTTACTTGCAGATTGATCTGCGAGGCGACATTTCAGGCCTCTTATCATCTCATCCGGGGTCTCCCCTTCTCACTCTCCACCATTTCGCACCGTGAATCCTATCTTCCCCTCCAAGGGCCGTTCCGAGTCCATCAACCATCTCATGAAAGCTGCAACGTCGATCAATCTCGTCTCCTGCAACAAACAATCTGCTACCACAGGCAAACCAACTGGTCGTTCTCCATCTCCTGGGGCATTCTGCTCATATTTACGAAGCTTATTCCCCCGAAGCTTTCTGAAAAAACCCCTCGAGACATTTCGGCCAGGAAGATGTTAGGCCGCCGTTGTACATGTTCAACACTCGATGGCCTCCGTACGTTGATCCTTGCGGAGCTCCTCATCAGTTTTTCTTGGAAACTGTTAGTAGTGGGGATGGAGAAGAAGTTGTTACTAGTTATACTCGAAGCTCGGCTCGTAATTTGCCTCCTTGTTCAGTGAATGGCAACCACTCTGCGGATGCCATCTCCAGAATTCAAGTGTTTTCGCCTGCAACTAGACGAAAAGAGGTGTGTCTTCTATCCTTTTTCTGTTGTTAAGTAACGATTCTGAAAAAGGACTTAAACTAATAGTACTGGTTTGAAAAAAGGCATAAGCTAATAGATAGGGTTAGGTTATAGGAATCGAGTATTCAAAATATAATTAATGAATGATTCAAGATACGATGTACCGTCCTAATAGTCAGTTACTTGACCTAAAATTTTAATTATTATTAACGGTTTAACATTAATATATAAATACTAATATTAATTAACTTATTACTAAACTCTCTTACGTGTTGTTACTTGTGATCCCATCTCGGATAAAATCGATTGAGTATGGGTTTATATAAAGGCCGAAGCCTTATGCATACCTAAGGTTTGTTGAAATGACAAGTGATCCCCAAAGGTTTTGAACGACAAATGGATCCCTTCCGTTATTTTCTGTGTGATTTTGGTTAGATAATAGTGAAAAGACTAAATACCCTTGAAAGTTTAATTTTTAGTTTTTTATAAATTTAAAAACTTCTAAAAAACCCCCAAGATTTGCTAATTTGACTAAACGCCCAATATATAAAAATTTTATAAAATAACAAAACACCCCCCCGCCACCCCCGCAGTGCCAGATTCCGGCCACCACCACCGGAATCTGGCCGAAAAATTGCTAACGCGTAGATCTTTATTTTCCGGCAAGATCCGGCTGATCTGGCCGAAAAGACCAGATCTACGCCAGATCTGGCCGTCGAGACCGGAAACTTGTCGGAAAATTGTGTTACGACACAGACCCATCGGATCTGTGTCGTAACACGTCGATCTGGCATTTTCCGGCCAGATCCGTGGATGATCTGGCCGGAAAAGGCCAGATCTGGCCGTCGAGGCCGACAAAGGCCAGATCCGAGGCGGATCTTGCCGAAAAGGCCAGATCGTGTTGTTACGACACAGATCCGATGGTCTGTGTCGTAACACAATTTTTCGCCAGATTCCGGCGGTGGTGGCCGGAATCTGGCACTGCGGGGGTGGCGGGTGTTTTTGTTTATTTTGTAAAATTTTATATATTGGGCTGTTTAGTCAAATTAGCAAACCTAAGGGTTTTTTTAGAAGTTTTCAAATTTTAAAAAACTAAAAATTAAACTTTCAAGGGTTTTTAGTCTTTTCACTATTATCTAACCAAAATCACTAACAAACATGCGAAGTTATCCATTTGTCTTTCAAAACCTTTTGGGTATGTTAAGTCGTTCTCCCTTATATAAATAGCTAGACAATATCACTTAGTAGATTAGTTTTTTGGATAGTTGGTAAGTGTACGACGTTGACATAAGACACTCGACTTTGAAAAGTCTTAAAGCTTGTACAAGGTATATAAGAAATTATCTCTCTTGCATTGAATTCTTCTAGCTACAATGTAGCAATATCCCCGTGAACTAGTTTCAATTGACCAGTGTATAAATTCATATATGATACTACCAAGCAATATTCAGGATGTCAAGGAGAAGGGCATATTTGAATTTTCATATATTTGCGATCACCAATCAAAACAAAAAAAAAATCACATATGTATTAATTGAAATACATATTGTTTTTTATTTTTCATTTTTCAGGCAGGAAGAGTAGAATGTTGCGACGTTGAATATGTGAGTGGCAAGGACTCTGCAAATGTCAAGTTAAGGGCTTGCATGAAAGGAGAAATGGTGGCTTAAATTAACATATTTATATATATATATAAAAACTTAATTAATATAGTATTTAAATATGTATCACTAATATGATTGAATGTTGAGATATATAATATATACACCCCTTGTTTTGTCACAAGGAATATAGGTCCTATCAATGTGTATCTTAAAAACACATGTTATATAAAATATCAAATATACTTATTGTCATTTTAATATTTTAGCGATCTATAAACTGAAATCTCTCTTTAAATTAAAGATATGGAATTTAATAATTTATAAATTTTAACATTGTCACATTTATGAAATTCAACACTTAATAGACACGGACGGAGCCACTAACGGGTGAGAGGGCGCTCATGCCCCACACTGACCTTGGAACAAAATTTCAATTTATACCCTCTTACGATGTGCCGTTACAGTCGTACCCATTTATTTTTTATTTCCTCAAATCTCAAATATATTTTAATTTTGCTTCTTAATGTATTAAAAAGTCAGATTTTTCATGAATAATTTCTTTTATATATATTGCCTCCTCCGAAACAAAATCGTGGATGCTGGTAAAAGGCAACTTATATGAACATATTATTTGAATTGGACTTGTCCAATAAAGACTTTGATGTAACTAAATTTTAATTTATAATAAACTAATTAAGAAATAAACTATTTAAGAATATTTTCATCTTTTTAATCAAACATTAACAAAAAAAGACTAACAGAACCTGACAAAGGGTGAGAAAGTTGTCGTTCGCCAAACCTTGGGCGAGAAAATGTAGTTCTCCCTTGTATAGACCTCTGATAATTATGTTAAGTTTTACAGTAAGAGAACAAGCTAAATATATCTCTTGATGCATTAATTAAACTTTAATCGTCTATGAATTTTCGTGATCATCAGCTGAATTATATAACTCTCGCTACAGAAGAGCTACTCCGCACCTGGGGAGACATTAGTAAGGAATATAAATTACAACATTTTAAATGCTTCGCCCTGGTACCGATAACAACTCTCGAGTATATAACGAGTCAGATTCTGCTAGAATTGCTTTACATCTTATCGGAGAAACTGAGCGATGAAATATGAGTTATGAGTCTCGAGGGCCATCGAATGACTGAGTCTTTCTTAGATTCCAATGGAGACCGTCGTGGATGCTGCGCAGGAAGTCGTCAGTGGAATCAACTTGACAGGCTGTCGGAACAGGCCAAGTTGCCATACTGCAGACGAGTGCATCTCCAGCCGCCAACTGTTTCCTGTCCTTGCCGTCAAATGATACCCAAGCTGGGTTTCTGCTATTGAAAGGTACTTGCACTCTCACTGTTACATGCTCCGGTAGAATGAGAGGCCGGAAGGATAAAGAATGGGGACAAATTGGTGTAAAAAGGATGCCCGGAACCTGAATTCACAAAAAATGCATCAGAATTTTCGATGGTATATTCTTATAATCAGGATGTCATATTGCAATTAAAGACAAGATAAAAACAATAAGGTGCCAAAGTTGTTTGATTGTTATCATACGCAGAAACAAACCTGTGGATGGACCATTGATCCTCCAGCTGCCAACGAATATGCAGTGCTACCGGATGTAGTTGACAAAATCAGTCCGTCTCCTTGCACACATGTGACAAAGGAGTTGTCGCAGTAACACTCCAAATTTGTGAGATATGAAGATATGCCACGGTCGATTGTAACCTCGTTCAAAACAAGTATAGGCTCATCGACTTCATACTCATTTTTAGCAGCATCTCTAATAATATGACACTGCAACCGATGACGTAATGTTATGCTAATCGGACCCTTTAACACTGAATCAAGGCAATCTCTGTAATGTTCACTGTCTAAAAACTGTTAAAGAAGCTATCAAGTATTACTCTTCAAAAGCTAGATATCTCTTGTAACTGAATTCAATCATCAAGTTTATTTATTGAAAGAAAATAAGTTCCTTCAAGATAGAAAGAGGATACGGAAAGGGGTCATGAAGCCCAAAGACCCTAAAGAAAATGGCACAATAGGAGGAACAGGCCCTTTGAACACTGATGCTGCCTGCAAACAGTGTAGAAGACAGTTTCTTCTTAGGTATCAATGCAAAAGAATTGACTTTTAAAATAAAATAGCAAACATTTATCCATTTTTATCTAAAGAAATAGAGTAAGTTTCATTTCCAAGAAAATGAATAATAATGAGTTACAATTTTCTAAAGTAAAAGGGTTGTCAAGGAATACGTGACTAATGCTTCCGATTATGTCTATACATCAGTCACCAGAGAGGTAAAGAGATACTAAACCTATGAGTGAATAAATATCACTGAGAATATAGCAGAAACAGACCAAAGCTAAACTCAATTTCTTGTGATAAGAGTAAATCTGATCAAAACATTCAACCGACTAAATTTGATCAATATTTTTCATTATCTCATGCCATTTTAGATACAACTTTGGTAAGATTAAGTGCACATACCCAAAGGACAGTTCCATCTCCACCAAGGGTTACCACAATGTCAACTTTTGTGTGCAGGCGCAAAATTTCATTGTCTGGAAAGCAACATAATCAACTCATCAATGACAAATCATAAATATAATTAAGGCAAGCATGTAAGGGGTTCACATGGTACTGGAGTTTGACTTGTTAGATTAAATCTTATGATCAGAAAGATTAAAACATGATTATATGGTCAAGTTTCTTTTCAATCATCAGAAATATGGTTCACTTCAGCAAAGAGAGAAAACACAGAATATGACAGGATGTATGAGACGGCACATTTAAAATTGAAAAATGCTATCACATCACAACTTGGAACTTCTACATTGTGTGATCGCACTAGAAGGAACATGACACTAACCAGTATTTCACCAACTTAGGAGGAATAATGTCCTTAGTTTAACTAAGAGCTTGTCATGGAATAATAGCATCATTGGAGTAGATACATAACTCACTTTAAATTTAAGAGGCGGCAGGAGACACAGCATGACACAAACAAAAATTTAACGACTTTACGTGGAACAACTTCTTTAGTTTAACTAAGAGCTGGGCAACGAAGTGGATACGCTATTCACTTTAAATTTATGAAGCAAAGCAAAAAATTGAATTATGCCTTATACTGGATTGTCTTATGTTCTGTTCGAGACATGAATATAATTGAAACCAATGCTATAAGTTGTATTGAATATATATCTTGTTAAATTTTTGATAAACATAAACATTCCACTGCTTACCATCTTTCCAAGTATGTACATAGTTGAAGTCAGATGATTCTGTTAGAAGTTCAGCTTTCACTCGTGGCTCCACATAAATGTTCACCTTTCTCTGCTCTCTTAACCATCTGTCAACAGAAAATTCGAATGAAGCAAGCATATAAACTGATACAGCTATCAGAAAACAAAACCACTCCATGTCATGCAGTTGCTTAACGCTCTTTATCATTAAAGAGCATAAAGCAANGTTAGATTAAATCTTATGATCAGAAAGATTAAAACATGATTATATGGTCAAGTTTCTTTTCAATCATCAGAAATATGGTTCACTTCAGCAAAGAGAGAAAACAGAGAATATGACAGGATGTATGAGACGGCACATTTAAAATTGAAAAATGCTATCACATCAGAACTAGAGAGTGCATGTTGGAACTTCTACATTCTGTGATCGCCACTAGAAGGAACATGACACTAACCAGTATTTCATCAACTTAGGAGGAATAATGTCCTCAGTTTAACTAAGAGCTTGACATGGAATAATAGCATCATTGGAGTAGATACATAACTCACTTTAAATTTAAGAGGCGGCAGGAGACAGAGCATGACACAAACAAAAATTTAACGACTTTACGTGGAACAACTTCTTTAGTTTAACTAAGAGCTGGGCAACGAAGTGGATACGCTATTCACTTTAAATTTATGAAGCAAAGCAAACAATTGAATTATGCCTTATACTGGATTGTCTTATGTTCTGTTCGAGACATGAATATAATTGAAACCAATGCTATAAGTTGTATTGAATATATATCTTGTTAAATTTTTGATAAACATAAACATTCCACTGCTTACCATCTTTCCAAGTATGTACATAGTTGAAGTCAGATGATTCTGTTAGAAGTTCAGCTTTCACTCGTGGCTCCACATAAATGTTCACCTTTCTCTGCTCTCTTAACCATCTGTCAACAGAAAATTCGAATGAAGCAAGCATATAAACTGATACAGCTATCAGAAAACAAAACCACTCCATGTCATGCAGTTGCTTAATGCTCTTTATCATTAAAGAGCATAAAGCAACTATAATGAGAAATTGAAACACAAAAGAACATGAATTACAAAAAGTTATCTTCTTGACTAATGTAATTTGCACAAACACAGTTTGAATAAGCATATTTAGGGGGAGGAGGCAACCTGCACTAAGAAAAACTATGATTATCAGACCCACACCTGACCATTTCTGCACATAAAATTCGAACAGAACTTGAATTTGGTTTGGTGAAAATAAGCACAGTCTGTGGTTGTGATTCCCACTTAAGAGAAATCTGAAACAAAGAACTTTTTAATTAGACAATGTAAGAGAGCCATAACTAATTTGATCTAGACAACAAGATAGGCAGAATGGGAAGGGAAAGATTTAAAAAAAAAAAAAAAGCAAAACTTATAGGCAGACAAAGCATCAGAATAGAGAACAAAATGTTTGTTCTGAATGTCATTTTCATCTTTACAGAAGCAGTACCTGTTTACTGCTGCGCTCTGCTGTTGTTATATTTCCTCTTTCAAAATAGACAATGTCATGTTTGTGCTGATCACTATTTTCACCTTTGCATCTCCATGAAAGTTTAAATGATGCCTAACTCAGGAAACATAAATAGAACAAAAATTACATTGGAGCTTTATAAATAATTCTTTCCTGACATGAATTATATCTTGTCAATTGCTATAACTTAATGCAATTATGAAGCTACAACTCTCTCGTTCAGTATGTGAAACAAGACTATAACAAGAAGAAAAGGCTTTCCCACAATGTATTATTCAAAATGGTTCACAGCTTTCAGTAATTATTGTTCCTAACATTAGATATATATCATCTGGAACTTATAAGATGATCACAAATATGACCAAGACAATTTGCTCAAAGACCAAACATGTAACACATCCAACATAGATCAAACACAAGCAATTATAAAAAACAGTTCGCTAAACTAAACCACCACCTCCTAATATTTTGGTGGACTAACACAAAACATTAAGTTGATATAAGCATACCTTTCTCATCATCTTATTATGAATTGTATCGGAATCAAAATCAGACTCCACGTCCCGAAGAACCTCATGGGAGCAAATCCCTTGCTCCAAAGAACCTACTCTGGAATGCTCCTCAGATTGACTGCACAGCACAAGACTATTGGTTGAGTTTTCAAGCCTCCCTGCCTCAAAATGGCCATTACTCTTTCCAAGAGACTGTTCTGCAATACAAACCAATAAATTTGTTCATCCAGAAGTTTGGAAAAAAAAAAAGAAAAAGAATAATGAAGCTGGATTAAAAGATGATGGAGAGGTAATATGCATATGAGCATAAAATGAGACACATATCACAATATGCAAAAGGGCATGATTATACTACGTATAGACAACTTGAGTCATAAGTGGAGCTGATCCACTGTGGAAGAGAGGCGATGGACCAAAACCATGCACACACACTCTCACAAAATAGGTTGTATTTGCATACGGAAATGTTATTATGGCAACTTGCATATAATGACCGGTAGTTTCAAAAACCTTAGAGCTTCATCTGCGATCAACTAATCAAAATGACCATAACTGCAAACCTCAACTTGCAGGTACCCCTTCAGGAATTAATTTCAATGTAAAGGTGACAAGAAGATGAACAAGAAATAAGAATCTAACAATGACAAAATATCCAACTGAGTAGCTAAGTTTACATTATATAAGCAGCAAATCCTTGTCTGACAATCCCCTGCTTGATAAGTCATTTGTTCAGTGAACAAAAGTATTAGTACTTAACAAAGCTTTTAGGTCAGCTACAAGAATTCCTTCAGCCCATTAAAGCTGACTCAGAATTTTGCATGTGTCTGTGTTTATGTGTGCATGTATATATGGTTAGTAAATTAAATGTGCTTGTGAAACAATATATTTTATTGTTACTACTCTAACAAAATAGTTGTCAACGGAGCTACAGTCTTGGTACTTAAGAAAACTTCTAAAGCCAGCTACAAACTTTTCAGTACATTACAAGTTACAACTGCCTCATAAATGTGCAACTACATATATACGGATTTGTAGTTATATGTGATTATGTGTGAAATACAAGATTTTTAAAATTTACATTGAAAATTACAATGAAAATAAATGTTGAATATGATAAGAGGGGTAGTCAACTGAAATAGGCATGAAAAGGTCCTCAGAGAAACCACACGAAAATGAGAGAGAGAGAGGTGGCAAAATGATGAGTTCAAAACACAGCACAGAAGAGCCAATTTTTAGTTAGGAACTTCTACATTTGCTGGACTCACATGGCATGGATAACTTATGGTGAAATGGCCAACCACTTGCCACTGTCTCTTAAGCGTCAGTATTCACTTAAAGGAGTACACTACTTTGCCTATACTCTTGCTGTTTTATTATTTACAAAGCGCTTAAAGTTTTAAAGCCCTTCGAAGCTAATTGCATGAGATTTTTCATAAAACCTGAAGTCAAAACCTCTAATACATTGTTTAAACCTGATACACACTAGATGCTTAGATCTACATCTGATATAGGAAGAATAGGATTAATTTAAGTTTATTTAGTTCTAAGAGATAGACAGATAAGGACTAAATAAACTTAAATCAGTCCTATTCTTCCTACATCAACATCACTTTCAAAGAGATTTATCTCTGATTGATGATATGCACATGACCGTCTTGGGATGCCATAAGGTTTTCTAGGATAAGCAATCTCAATCCCTAAACCCTAAACCCTAAACTACTAGAAAGCATGTAGCAATCAAAAAAGCCTGAGAAATTTCTTCAAAAGAAGCATTGATTTGACTTCATAATTCTACGTATGATTAAAGCAACTACCTTGAGATAGTCGCCTATTCTGTTCTTTCCAAATTTCCCAGCAGACAAGACATGGAAGAATAAATCTTATCAGTCCCATTGCATTATATAAAGAAGTCCGAGTCCACCAACTTTGGAGTATTTCAGAGATAACATTGCCTGATAGTGGAATAGCCATAATCTGATGATAATGAGTCTAAACTAGATTAGCACTCTCACCAAAACCATACAAAATCCTACTGTTTTACTACTTAGATAGTGAAACAGCATTCTCAAAGCCACTAAGATCGAGAAGAAAGCAATTAAATCTCCTTTTGACTACACAGATGGAGAAAGTAGTGCAATTAACTATTAGCTGAAACTATATACCAGCCACATTTTCAGAACTCTATAATCAAGAACGTTTATGAGCCAGAGGTGTTTATCTTTGTCATATACCAGCCAAAAAACAAAAAAAAAACAAAAAAAAAAAAAAAAGTGGTCTTAAAGGTCCCTCTTGTAACTTCAGAAGTAATTTGTCATAAACTTCAGACACACAGCCGTCAGACCAGGTACCCCTTGTAACCCTTATCTGTATAGAGAATCTGGAAATTTTCAAAAGAAAATTACATGGATTTTCTTATCCTTTCTGGTATTGCCAGGGAAAGGAACTCAACAGAAGCAGATATCAACGTTTCCCTATAAGTCTGTCTAATCAGGTTAGAACAAAATTCCACAATTAGTGTGAAGTGGACTAAAGTCTTTCACCAATTTAAGAGTTACATTTTATATAAACTAGCTGTAAGACCATGGTGGTATATAATAGAGACGAACTCTCCATAAAATAAGGGTGATGAGATAGAAGAGATCAAGATACACAGTAATTAGTAATTAATGCCTGAATAAGATGCTAATGGTCACATAAATAAAGATCTAAATCAGTTAACTACAAGAGATCAGCCAAGTTCAGTAAAGACTACCCATTGTATCAGTACTACAGAGTAGCATTCTAATAACTATAAAACCACAATAAAGGTGGAAAAGAAACTGGAAAGAAGCTGTAAAGGGCAAGGCACTACAGTTTTACTGAAAAAATAAACCTAATATAAGATTCAAATGCAAAAGAAGATTGGTCTAGCTAACTTCATATAATTGAAATGAGCTTTGCTATCTAAAGTTTTAAAAATTTTCACAGAAGTTCAAAGTCATAGAACGTCATAATTTATGTATAATATTCCATCAATAAGAACCTCTACGTTCCATCTGCAGATTTCGTGTCCTCTCCAGTTCATATCTACGTTTCCATTCTGCAGCCTCAGCTTGAGCAGCAGCCTTTCCTTCAGCAGCTCGTCTTAATGCCTTTGCAACAGCTAAAATTGTGTTGAAAATGAAATAAGCATCAAATTTCAAATTGAGATTACAGGAAGGCATATGCTTCCATTAAGATAGAAATATATTCAAGAATAAGTAATGAAAATACTTCTCAAGGCCTCAGAAAACTCTATAAGATGTTCATCTGTTCCCTGAACAGGAGTCTGTTGAAGAAGTTCCTGCACTGCCTTCTCTGACTGAATGAGAGGAAGTGAATCAACAAAACCATTCTCTGGCTGTGAGCACGAAACACTTGCATCCCCATTTCCATAGGAAGCCTATCAGACAAGACACAAATACTTGACACAAAAAACAAGCATCTATGCATGAAAAAACAATCAAAGATACTATGCAAGGTAAGAAAAGACGTTATGTTCTCAAATTCCATCATTTTCCCAACTAAATTATAACACAAAGCAAGATGGGTTTGTCTTTGGATCCATGTGACAACTGATAAGTCTACCAATTAATTTTGTCATAAAAATAGTGGCATCAAAGACTTTGACACCATTTCTGTGTCATTTCCTATTAGCTTTAATATAGGAATTTAAAAATTTTTCAACACTATCTAGACCATATAGACCATATAGGTTTAGGTCAATGGGAAAAGTAAAGTAAAAAAAGTGTAAGGAAATTTACTAAACCACTTCAGTTGAAGGGCATAATATATCTTCCATATTTAATTGAAAACAATTTCATGGTACACAATCTTGATATAACATAATCACTTTCCTCCATATTTTCTCAAAAAAAATAAAAAAAAATAAAATATATATTAATTAAAAACCTATTTAATTAAACAAAACCATAACTGCCTTTTGAGTTTCCAAATACTAAAGGAAAAATACCACCTACTTAATTTCTCCAAATTTTGCACAAAAGACATAAAATCAAGGTCTATCAATGCCAGTTCACCATAGCGGTCACAAGCAGACAGAACTTCGAATCACAGTGACCCACGCAGTGTGCAGACATGCATAATTGCTGAAATGGAAACTTCAACAGAATTTGCCCCATTTACATGTTCAATTGTAATTCTTTTCTTATATATTCACATAAGAACCACTGATACTTCTAACAATTTCACATATAAAGCTAAAATCAGACCTCCACCTTCAATCAAGTAATTAACCAAATCATTACTACAATTAGCTTACTCTGCAAACTAACAACTACACCAAAATAGAAATTAAAACTAAAATACACACTCCAATTCCAAAAAGGGGAAAAAAAAACAAAAACAATTTTTTGTTTAATTTTCACATGAGAAATACTGATATTTTTAACAATTCCAGTTATAATTCAATAATTTTCAGTAATTTTATAAATAAACCAAAATTACTAAAATTAGCTTACTCAATATATCAAAAACTACTCCAAAATTAAAACTAAAATAGGCACAAAAAAGAATCCAAAAAAAAAAAAAGCCTGTGGAAGACATGGAGGCAATTAAAGTCAAATAAATATGGAAAAAATACACAAAATTCAGCGAAAATCAGAGACTTACGGGGGAGTCGAGCTTGCTCGGAGACATGACTCAGTGGTCGGAGATAAAGCAACAGAGGCGAAGAGAGAGAGACGGAGATCTCTGGCTTGATTCTTCTTCTTCTTCAAGACTTGCTTACATCTGGCACACAACAACGTGAAATCTCATTTTATATATTTGATTATGATGAAGGAGTGAAATTGAAAAGATTATTAGTTGTTCGTTGGAGGGGGAGGGAAAGGGGCGAGATTGTAATTTTCTAGAGTTTTTTCTTCTTTATTTTCTTTTAAGATTAGGTAAGCAAGGCAAGTCAAAGAAAGAAAGAGAGATTTAGGTGGGGTCCAGTGAAACGCGTGGCGACCATCTGAAGTTGAAGACTTTCATGTAGGATGAGAATGTTTGCCTCCTTTGGGTTTGAGATAATTCCATCTTACCCCACGAAGTTTCCGAAATGTCAGTGGAGCTCTCCTGCCGTCATTACCTAACTATCTATCTTTAATAAATAAAATAATTAGAGTTTAAGATAGGAGATAGGACTTTATAAAGTTGTAAGATCATGCATTTGGTTAATGTCTTGGTGATAGAAGAGCTAATATTACCATAGCCTCGATTAACAATGTTCATAACTATAATGATCATAAGATAATAAAATTTTTTGTTAGGTAAGACACATTTATACAAAATTAGCTACTATTTACCAAAAACGTTTGTCTCTACAAAGTTGTAAAATTATGTATAAAGTTGGTGGTCTAATTACAGAGGAATCCTTGACCGGAGCTTCAATGAATAGTAACCGAAACTATAAAAATTTTGAGTTAGTGAAATTCTTTGTCAAATAAGGTACACATTAAAACAACCTATTATAAATATTATGGTTATACCTCATTTCATTTTCAAATTAACAAATATTGTTATAAAATAATATCAATATTATGTGATATGATATGATATTATTAAATAAATATTAATGAATGACGTGACGCATCTTATCTTACTAGAATTCTTTTTTATTTTTTAATATGGAAACATTAGTTATCATATGGTATCATAATTATTTTTTTTAATATATTATGAAATATAATTTTCATCTGGTATATGCTTCCCAATTTTTTATATTAGACACATGTTAAGAGCTATTTATTTATAAAATTACAAGAATACCTTGATATTATTTTTCAAACAATCAAACTAGGAAACTGTAAAATTTCTTAAACTTACGAGGGGCTCCATGTAATTTTTATCCTTTAATAAACGATTGTGTGCCATGACCTGATAAAAAGTAGGAAATAGGAAGCAATCATTTAAAGATGAGAATTGAGAGATGTTGTGAGATTCTTACACAAGTTTTCGTCAAGTCAAATCTCATTTTTGTATTTTTCTCGTTTACTTTTTATTTTATAATTATTTGTCACAGCCGCTCAAAGCTGATTTCCAGTTTCACTATTTACCTAGTTATATCATTTTAGTCCTTGATGTTTGGCCTGATTGTAAGTCCACAAAAATCTGATAATAACGCTTAGGTTCTTATAAAAGTATCTTAATCTTTTCTTATATAAATGAAATAAAAAATTAATGGAATTATAGAAAATATGAACGACTGCTAACTGCAAATTATGGTAACAATTTAGAACAATTATATTAATTATAAGAAAATGAAAATTAACAGATTAAGGGTATTTTATATACTTACAAAAAAAAAAAAATAATTCAAAAAGTGATTCTGAATATGAATAAGGATCTAAACGTTACTATGCAATACCTGAGGGATCACAATTTTAATTCCTTTTTATACATATAACCATTAACCAACTGAGGCTCCATTTGGTTCATTTTTTTACATTTTTTAGAAAAGTTAAAAAAAAATTTAATTGGGCAGATATTACGATATAAGATTTGAAAATTAATAAAAATATCGTATATGTTTATTTATTTACTAAACACCCCTATAATAAAACATTAAAAGTTAACAAAAACACCTCCAATCTACCCATTAAATACGGACAGTTGGCCACCACCGCCGAAGGGTGGTCGAAGTCACCGTATCGGTGTATGACCAGCTAGATCTTATCGGTCGTGCACCGATATGACATTTTCTAGCCAAATCAATGATGGACTAGATCTGGCCATTGACGGCCAGATCTGGCCCCATTTGCTTGTCAACGACGGCAAAAAATACGGCCGTCGTTGATGGTCAACGACGATCATATGTTGACCGCCGTTGACGATTGGCTACGGCCAAAGATCTGGTCGAAAAATGCTAGATCGGCGCACTACCGGCCAGATTCAACCGGTAGTATGCCATTATACCAGATTCCGGCCATCTTTCGGCAGTGGTGGCCGGAATCTGGTAAATGTGGGTTTCTGGGATGTTTTTGCAATTTCTAAAAAAAATTTAGAGGTATTTAATTAAATTAAAAAATTTAAGGGGTTTAAAAATAGTTGAATAATATTATGAGTTTTTGCGATTTTACTGTTTAACTTTTTTTGGAATACTAATAATAGTATTCCCAAAAACGAACCAAACGGAGCACGAGTGTTTATGGATAATTACAATTTAGTACCTGATGTTTGACTACGTTTTTTGAGTTTAGTGTATGTCTTAAGTAACATTTTGGTCCCAATTGTATTGGCAATTGATCTTCCTACTTCTCATAACCACTAAAATGTTATTAATTTTTTTAACAAAACTTAAGTTAGCAAAATCAAACTTTAGGGATAAAATTGTAATTTTCGTACTTTTAACAACCACCAGCATGTTCCAATTCAATTATATGTACTCCTATTATTGTAAACCTTTTGAAATTTTTAATATTTAAATATATATTTTTCGCTATAATTTTACCTGTTAAAATAAAATTATTCAGAATCTTAACCCAATCGGAAACTTTTTAGTAAAAAAAAAAAAAAAATCACTTTGGAATTTATTCACAAACCAATAAAAGGAATATTAATATTCTTCGAATATGTTTAATCTTTAAAAACCAAACGAAATCAATAACATAATAAAAAATAAAAGTAAAAATATATTTGTTTTTCCAGAGAATAATTATATTTATTTGTCAGGTTTAAGAATCAATAAAGCTTATGAGAACTGGAGTTTATATTAAAGAAATTCTTTGGTAATGGAGATTGATGAGAGATAATAATAATTTTTAAATAAAATAATAAATAATGTATAAATTATGAGAGGGTTATCACGTAGAGATATTTTTTTATTATAATCTGTTTTATCACATGGGATTAGATTACTAAATAAATTGAGCTCTTTACAGTTTAAAGATTATTAAATCTTTATTTGACCTAATATGGTTACTGTTATAAATGTAGAAAAATAATTATTTAATAAATTTTTTAAAAATAGTTTCTAATTTTTTAAATTGTTTTCAAAAACTGTTTTTGAAAACAATTCAATTTATCGTATTATTTGTTTTAAAAAACAGACTACGATAAATAAATTCTATATCAAACAACCCTTAAATTAAAATACACAGAGGAAAATTGGCATGACCGCCTCAATTTTGTCTAGATTTTATAAGATCTTTTTTAAATAAAAAAAGAAAATTGGGGAAAATTAAATAGCCGTGTTGATTTATTTAGAATTTTAAATGTGAGTGGGAGGTGACAAATGGAATGTGGAAGACGTTGACATTAAAAGCAGCTGAATTTATGCTTAAAAAAGTAATAAAATAAAAGGTAATTTTTTTGAAGATTCTTTGATTCTACACGTAGATACTCTTTGCGTCACCAGTGACGTTGATTCATGGTGGGCCATGGTTCGACCAACCGAGTTTGGACCGGTTTTTTCAAAACTAATCGTAAGCTTGGGGTTTGGTAAAGACTGAAGAGTGAAGCTATTGATGAAACCCAAACAATAAACTAAAAAAGTCTTATTTTTTAAGTATTTCGTTTCAAGGATTTAAAATTAATTTTTTTATGGTATTGGCATTGGGCACCCCGATAAAGTTTGTAAATACCCTTCATTCCCATATATATATTTTAAGAGAGTTACTACAATCAAACCTCGATAAATTTTAGAATTATGAAAATTTATTAATTAATTAATATATTATTTAATCGTATAAATCGATTTATCGTGACATTCTTTATTTTCTTTTTCCAAAATATTTAACTTAGTTTATGTATATATTGTGTATAGTTAATGTGATATAGGGAATAGTTGTTGAAAATAATATCAATTTTCTTGCAATATGAGAACACTATACCAAAGCTTCTTAATGCACTAAGAAAAGTTAGAGATGAGGTTCAAGAAGGCACCAATTTCAAGAGAAAACAAATAACACTTCTTAATGCACTAAGAAAAGTTAGAAATGAGTTTCAAGAAGACATTAATTTTAAGAAGAAAAAGGTAACGTTGGAGTTATGTTCTACAAAGGCCTCCTAACTAAGTCATGTATAGATATAATTTTTATGTATAAGGAGGTTATTAATTTATATATTAAGAGATACTTATGTGTGTGTGTGTTTTTTAAATATATTATCTTATAAATTTAGCGAATTATTAATTTACCATATTGACCCCAAGTCAGGACCGGCAAAAAGTATTATTTAATCGATGTTATTAATTTATCGAGATTTAACTGTATTTTATTCCTTTCACTTTCCCAAATAAGGTATCTTTAGTCCATTAATGGGATGCCAATAGATCAACTCTTTCATAAAACCTAATAATATATTATAATAATCTAACAATTAATGTAAGTCAATAATTATAGGGAGAACAAAATTTTCCCACAAGGATTGGCGAAATGACACTTTTACACCATTCATCAAGTTCTATTAGTGTTTTCTGTTAATTTTTTACTAAAGGACGTAAATACATTGAAATAGTTTATTATAAATTAAAATTTAGTTAAGTTAAAGTATTTACTCAATTATTTATTAGTTTAAATGTAAAGATATTTTTTTTCTTTTATTTATTTAATTAATTAGGAATATAGATTTTCTATGTTAATTAGTAAAAAAAAAAAAAAAACATTATATTATGAAAAACATTATAAATTTAGTATATTATTGAATAATAGTAATGGAATATTGATGGTATTATAAATAAATAACCATTAAGTACAACTTTAAACAATTTCATAGTACTCCTAACTTTTTAGGTGAGACTAATTATTATTATTTTTTTTACTTTGTAATATTTGACTAATTAAAAATAATAAAATCAAATATTTAAGAGTATTTTTATATTTTTAGTAAAATACTAACAAAAAATATAAAAGTGTTATTTTGAAACTTAAAAAGTGGGAAA